TAGAATCCACATAGAGTTTAGACTAGCATTGAACCCGCACGTTGTGCGGGCGAGTTACATCTTTTTATCAACATTAATCAATTTTATTTCAGTATTTTGAATATTTTAATGTGTCATTCTATAATTTTTGTAATTTTAGTATTCAAAATTTTGTAAAGGTATTAGTGTTTTCCAACATTGTTAAACTTTATAAGTTTAGCTTGTGCTTATAATCTAATCGTTTTATGAGTGGACATCAAAATAATCTTAATTTTTAAAATTTCAATTCTATTGGATATATGTTGTATTTGGAAGATTATATTACAATATTTTGCATAGTCATATCACTATATACATATTTTCTCACATTAAGATAGTTGGCATAGCTTTCAAAATTATAATAAATAGCTTTTGTTTAGAGTAAAACGGAATGTATGAAAGGTTATATTGAAAAATTTTAGCGTAAAGTATTTTGTACCGAAAACGTGTTGAGTTATAGCTCAGCCGTTTCCTACCGTTAAAATTACCTACCAATTTGGATCCAATATCCAGTATTTTCGATCCAACCGACATTCTAGAATTTCTTAAACATTGTTAAAAAAAGTTATAGGTATAATATGCCCATTTATTATGATGCTTTATCAAACATGCCTCTCTACTATTTTTTACATCAAATATGCCCCTGTACTTTGTAAAAATGATCAAACATGCCCTTTTGTTAAAATTTTCATCTAAAAACCGTTAACAAAGGCTGAACTTTAGTTTGGGCGACACAAATGACTAAAATATCCCTAATAAATTCACTTTAGAATTTTTTTGGTTCTTTTGTATAATCAAATCATTCAATTAATTTCACTTTGAAAAGACCCAGGGAAATAAATCAGGGGACAAAACTGACATTTTTCCTCTCATTTGCCAATGTCGGGTCGTCTAAATCTCTGTTCAACCATGATTGACGATTTTTTCAATGAAAATTTTAACAGAAGGGCTTGTTTGATATTTTTTTTCAAAATACAGGAGCATATTTGATGTAAAAAATAATAGCGGGCCATGTTTGATAAAGCTTCGTAGTAGATGGGCATATTATACCTATAACCCTTAAAAATGTAGAAGAGTTTTCTAGGTGAAAGAGGAAAAATTTCTTAATTCTACCCAAACCTGAATTACCGCAGGAGTATAAAATAATTAACTATCAAACTATGGAAGAAAACTAAATAACCAAAAAAAAACTACACGGAAAGAAAAAATTCCACAAAACATGGTAACTACCGCCATAAAAAAAGAATAAAAAAAATAAGAAAAACGGAAAAAATCGAAAGTTGCGGAGGAAGCTCCATGGCTGACGTGGAGGGGGTCATTTTATAAAACCCCTTTAATATATTTAAAGAGGGCTCCGGATACTATAACAACACCTCTTTTGTTGTTATAGTAACAACAAGGGTAAAAGGGTCCATTAACACAATATCTAACAAATAAAAAAAATTAATATCCAGCTGCAGCCGTCTCTGGATCTCCTCCTCGCGTGTATCTTTCTTCCTCATCGGCTTTTTCTCCTCCAATACTCTCCCCGGTGCCGACGCCGTCCAATCTGAACCTTCTAACCTCTCCACGTGGTCTCGCAAGAACAGCAAGCGCTTCGCCTGTGGATCGCGACGGCGACGTTGCTGACGTGGAAGGCCTGGCGCTACACGAACCTCACGACCGACGGCGGTGTTATTTCCCCACTGTTCGTATGTTTCTCCTCTCTGCACCGATCAGAAACCTCTTCTTAATGCCGGTATTCGTTTTCGCCGCCGCCGAAAATGCAGTTACCGACTCCGACGCCGGAGGCCCCAATCCTCCTCTTTCAATTGCAGCCAAATCTCGCCTCGTTCTTTATTCTGCACTTTGGCCCACTATGGTACTCGAGAACATCAAGGATCTGGATTCTACCCAGCCCTAATTCTCATCTCCGTCGGCACAGGCGGGATCAGAACATATTGTGAGCTTGAGAGTGGATATTGATGGCTCTGCCCTCTTTTGCTTTTGCTTTTCAGCTTGAGATTGATATGTATAACAACCGATCTGAACCCTACATGCAAAAGATGACGCTTATTTCAGCAGTAGATGGAGAATTTTGATGTTGGAGAGGTCCCGGTGAAGCTGCAGGAGAGACCGCAACGAAGTGAGGGAGGAAGCAGTGGAGTAATGGCTAAAGTGAATTAGGATTCAAGCTTCTGAACTTGGAAGCAGAGATTGGATTGCCCCTTTGTACAGGTGTGTCAACTGAATCAGATATGACATGAGCATGGTCTGATTTTGTAGTCGACTTGCATGTGGTATTTTTTGGGTAATCTTTAGTTGGTTATGAGTTTGGTTGTGTGGTCATCTCCAAGAACAAAGTTGAGATGTCTGTTTATGTTGCAAAAAAGATAATTCCAAGTTGTAAAATTCGTGAGATGGCTGGGTGGAGTCTTGTGATTGGATTGTGATTTAAGTTATTCAATTATGAGTAGTTCAACATGGAAGAGCTTTGTTACAATTATTGGTTTGTGATTCTAAATGGGGTTGTAGCTTTGTAACAGTTTTGCATTCTTTTGTTAGTTATCATTTCATAAGCACACTAGAAACTTCTCAATACATACGATAAATCACCTAAAACAAATCAGAAAAGTTAGAAAGCAAACCACAAATATTTTATAAGCACATCAGAAACCTCCTAATACAAACCACAAATGCGATAAAACAAACCACAAAAGCATACCGGAAACCTCCTAAACGAGACCGCAAATGCTCTAAAACATACCGGAAACCTCATAAAGCAAACCACAGAATTTTCAAAAACACACCAGAAACCTCATAATCCAAACCACAAACACGATAAAGCAAACCACACAAACAAACCAGAAACATCCTAATGCAGACCAAAAATCTATTAAAACAAACCAGAAACCTCACAAAGCAAACCACAGAATTTTCAAAAACACACTAGAAACCTCATAATGCAAACCACAAACACGTTAAAGCAAACCACAAAAACAAACCAAAAACCTCCTAATGCATACCACAAATCTCCTAAAACAAACCAAAAACCCCACAATGCAAACCACAAAGTTTTTGAAAGCAAACCAGAAACTTCTCAATGCAAACCACAAATACGATAAAGCAAACCAGGAACTTCGTAATGCAAACCACAAACGCGATAAAGCAAACCACAAAAGGCATACAAAAATGTGAGAAACCAAACCATAAATCTCACAATGTAAACCATACATCCGGTGGTCGTTGACCGTTGACCGGTCAACGAAGTTCGTTGACCAAACTCCGATGACCGTCAGTGACCGGATTCCGGCACCGATAAGCATATTCCGGCCCCGGTGACTAGATTCCGATGCCGGTAAGCATATTTCGACGCCGGTAAGCATATTCCGACGACGGTGAGCATATTCCGATGACAAAATAGCATATTCCGGCGACAAAAAAGCATATTCCGGTGACCGGCGACCAGATTCCGGCGACCGATGGCCGAATTCCGGCGACCAAAATTTTGGGCCGAAAATAAAAAAATATTTTTTATTTTTTATTATTTAAATATATTTTTCATAATGACAATTATACCCCTGCTTTGATTTTACACTAGGTCAACTCGATTCATAAAAAGTCATCACAATCCTAGATTCCTATTGGTTGGAGGCTAGTGTTGTTACAATAACAACACAAAGAGTGTTGTTACCGTAACTGATCCCTTTAAAGAGATATACTAGACTTCCTTACGAAAAAAGAAGAGGAAATTGAAGACACTCGGCTGCAGGTTTTATCACAATCCATGATTGGGCTTTAAATTTTCAAGTCGATCGGCCCATCAAAATTAGCCCTTTAGTCTTTAGACAAAACTTAAACAGCAAAGTCAGGCCGGCCCTTCCTTCAAATCCGGCCCGCTTTTTATCTACACAATCGGTATAATTCATTTGCTAAATGAAAGCCAAACCTCCTCATTTCCCTTAGTCATGGTCAAGTAGTATAAAATCTTGGGCTGACGTGGAGGCTTGTAGAGAGGCATGCAAATTGCAAAATCTTAAATTCTTCCTAACTTAATTAATGGTTGACGATTTGAATATTAAATTGTTTTCGAAAAGATTTGGTTATTATATTGTTTAAAATAAAAGATTTGAATATTAAATTGTATTTATCCATTTTATAATTTCTTTTGGTTGGTAACTATAAATTTATTCTTGGAATCAATTAGCTTGCTAACCTATAAATGGATTAGCATTGTCATATGACTATTCTTGTAGCCGTCGATTTCCCTTCTCATCTCACAGTTTGTATGGGGTGGGAGTATAGTCGTTATTTGTATTATTATTTTTTAATGATATGAAAAAGGTGAGCAACCAAAGGCGCCACCATCTGTTACACTCGGTCCCTTAACTCATTCTATAGCTCGTCAATTTTAATGAAAACTGGTTCCCATTGTGTTCCATTGCTATAGGTGACTAATAGACTAATAGAGGGCGCTTGGGGATGGTAAATGGGATGGAGAATGAAGACGACTTAATAACAAATTAAGGAGAAAATCAAACATTAACATACATCGCATCCAAAATTTGTATCTTATTTAGATTTCATTCTATATTTTAATAGCAACAAAATAAAAGACTTCAAAGACATTTAAACTCTCCGACATAAAACAATACTTTTTTTTTTTTTTTTGCAAAAAGTCTCAATAGATTTGGTTCGCGACATACCTACACCAAAAAAAGGACTCCCCTCTTCCCATCTCTTACTTTCCATGGATCAAACACAACCTTAGAGAAGCTTTCATGTCATGCCCTATTTTGCTTCTAGTCTACTTCTATAAAAATACATGCCTCATCCTTCTTAGCCGGTAGAAAATGTTCACTCACTACAACAAGGAAAAAGTCACCACACACAAAACCTGAAAAAGAAGCACCAAAAGGAAAACCTAGCTCAAGCACATAAGTCATAAACCCAAGTTACACACAAAAGTCATTTCCATTCTCCTACACAACACATCTTAACTACTACTTCTTGACCTCCCCAATCCTCATTAGAGCAAGATACGCAACAAGCCTGTACCCAACAATCATCACCAGCAGCGCCACCGCCGAAACCGCCTGCCCGTCAAGCCCAACGCTCTTTATCGCCGGATAATCCCCAACCCGGCACACCTTCCCGCCGCCGCAAGGGTACAGGTCGTCGTCGGCGAACTGAGACCCGAGGAGTAGCTTGTAGGTGTGCTGACCGATCGAGATGTACTTGATCCACGCGATGAACGGCGGCACGTGCTGCACGTAGTAGCCGCTGGCGAGCAGGAAGGCGAGCATGATGATCGAGCCCATGATGGTGGCGTTCTTCTGGTCCATTACCAGGGCCCCGATGGCAAGGCCCAGGCCCGAGGCCACAAGGACGCTGTAGAGGAGCACGGCTAGGGTGTGGAAGAAGTGGGCCGGGGTGGGCTTGAAGCCCACCATGAAGTACGTTATGATGACGAAGACGGTCGGTAACACCAACGACATGGGAAGGTCGCCGACGATTCTTGACATGAAGTAGGAAGAGAGTTTGTACATCCCGGATGAACGTTCCTTCATTAGCATCCGCCGTTCTTGTGGGAACGTGAAGATGGCCTCGAACAAAGGGTAGAATCCCCAGAAGCCCGAGTAGAAGAAGAGCAACCCAATCTGCACCATAACAAAGCGTTTGATCACAAACATCGAAATTGTAGTCACAAATCACAATTTTTGGTTCTTATGCCCGAAACTTTTTATACTGAAATGCGTCATTCATAAAGCCAACTCATACTCGACAAATAAAACACGTTGTGAACGTGTCACTTGCCATATTATATTCAAATGACGTAATAGTGTCAATTCATACTCGACAAATAAGCACGTTGATTGCTAACGTCATAATATACCGCGAGTTTGTCAATTCATACTCGGCAAATAAGTAGTGACATTTTTTGTTCTTATGCATAGAATTTTTATTGAAAAGCCCCATTAACGAAGTCAATTCATATCTAACAAACAAGTACGTTATTAACGACTCACATGACAGTCATTTATTTAAATGACGTAATAAAGTCAATTCATACTCAACAACCAAGCATGTTACCAATGCGTCATAATATACCGCGAGTTTGTCAACTAAAGGGAAGCAGAGCAGAGGATTACCTGATCCTGCAGATTGGCAGCACTGGACTGCCACCAGAGTAGGCCGCAGAGGATGGCGACGGCGAGCACCTGAAAAATCTTGAGCCCGGAGAAAGACTCGTACTTCCTCTCTTTCAGTCCCCTGGAGATCAAGATCGTGAACTGCTGCCACCAAGTCGTCGGCCACCCAGAATACTGCTGCTTCTTGCCGCCGCCGCGAGACGTCCTGTCCCTCTGCTGAACAATCTCCCCGCCGCCGGCAGCCCCACCTGTTTCCTGATTAACCTGCTGCAGCTCCGATTTCAACTTCTCGGCCAGAGTAGCCTTGTAGGCCGAAACCAATGCCTCCTTGACTTTGACCGGGTCTTCCTGGCCCTCGTTCTCCCCCGACGACACTCCTGCCGAGTCAAAACAACCAACCAGTTAGCGTTCATTAATTAACATTTAACAAGCACAGCTCCCGTTACACTTATCAGTCAACAAAGAAATTGGAGTTCAGTATAAGAGCACGTCAGCGGTGACGACGTACGCTAGGGAAAGAGTTATGGCCAAAAGGTAACAGGAAAAAAGGGTAAAGAGGACACATGTCTGTAACGAAGTAGTGTGCCAAGTGTAAGGTTTTTTTGGAAGCAACATCCGTTCATCCCCATTACACAAAGCACATGCATTTATAAGGGAAAGAAACAAGTCTAGCTCTAGCTATTAATTCGATCAGCTTCTGGGTGTAACTTTCCCTTTCCTGAACTCCAAAGTGAAGTAAGCTAGTGCTGAATGAAAGCCAGCTATCAGAGTTCCTCTTTTTCCCTCTCTTGCATGGGAACCATGTGTTCGAATACTACTGACGGCCGACTCCCCCCGTTGTGGCCTTAAACACGGCCACCGCCCCCGCACCCTCCCGAGGTCCCCCCAATTCCCAACAACTCCAAAATCACTCACCAAATCGGTGCTTCCAAAAATCCATGTAGTTTGGGTAGAAAGAAGAAAAATACACGATATAAAAAAAAACCTAGCTATTAGAATCCCGCTATCTCGATCTCGTGTGTTTGTCCATTATACGAGTACAGAACGAAAAGTACTGGCATATGTTGTATAAGATCGATCAATACTATCGTACTAACTACGAAACAGTCTGAACCGACATTCCAATACGTTATGTTTGGGCATGATACTTAAATATGTCGATGAGTCTAAAACCCTAAAACTATCTAATAAGACAAATTGATCATCGTCATCATCACTTTTTTTTCTTCTTAATCTTACCACAAAAGCACAACACATAGCAAACGCGCGACATTAACAAAAGCATATCTATCTGAATCCCGCGTTATCTTTATAATGAAGACGAACAATCTTGAAACTACCATCCTTCATTACTACTACGCTATCATAATCCTAAACCCTAAAACTCTCTCAAACACAAATCAATCATTGATCACTTTCTAGCTCAACCTAGCTACACCCTATAACAAAGCACAACAAATAGCAAACAAACATGCACAAAAAAAACATAGAGCAAAATACATACCGTTGGCGAGGTCCAAGAGGAAATCCGACGGATTCATAGGCACCCGAGGGACATACCCAGCCTTCTCAAAATACTCCATCACATCCCCGCCTCGCCCAAAATACAACGGCCAACCTTCCGACAACAACATCACCTTATCAAACATGTAGAACAGCCTACTCGACGGCTGGTGGATCGTCATCACCACCGTCCTCCCGCCGCCCCTCGCCACCTCCCACACCGTCGACACGATCCTCTGCGCCGTCGTCGAGTCCAGCCCCGACGTCGGCTCGTCGAGAAACAACAAGCTAGGGTTCACCAGCATCTCCTGCCCTATACTCACCCTCTTCCTCTCCCCGCCGGAGACACCCCGGAGGTCCTCCCCGCCGATGATCCCGTCCTTGCACTTGTCCAGCCCTAGCTGCCCGATCACCGCCTCCGCCTGCCCGACTTTTTCGCGCTTCGTCAGCGAGTTGGGGAGGCGGAGGAGCGCCGTGTAGACGAGGGTCTCCGTCACCGTGAGGTGCGGGTAGAGGACGTCATCTTGCGTCACGAACCCTATTGACCGTCTCATCCGGCTGGAGAAGGGTTTTCCGTTGTAGGTTATGGCTCCGTCGAGTTTCCCTTCTCCGCCGAGTTTGCCCCCCAACGCGGTGAGGAGCGTCGTTTTGCCGCTCCCCGAGGGTCCCAGCATTGCTAGCATCTCGCCCGGGTGGACGATTCCCGTGACGCCTTTTAGGATCACCTTCTCGACTTCCGAATCCGATTCCGGCGATTTGTGGCATTTTGAGAATCCGGGATTTGGTAGCTTCACCTTGTAAACCACGTCCTCGAACTGATTTTTTTTGTTACCACGGGTAAAAAAAAGAGGGTTAGACGTAAAAAAAGGTTTCTTTTTGGCTTGTTGAATGAGCGAGTGAAGAGTTAATTGAGTTTTATTACCTTGAGGGTGACGTTGCGATTGGCGTCCATGAAAACGGAGGAGGAGACGTGGTGCGGCGGCGGCGGGTGGGACTGTGACTCGGTGTCGAAATTGGCACTCACATCCGGCGGCGCCATTGGTTTGGGGGCGGCTAGCTCGATCTGAAATTCTCTGGGGTTTTTTTTATTCTTCTAGGATTTGTACGTTTGTTTTGGGGCTTATGATTTTTTTTTCTTCTTCCTCTTTGTATTCTTTTTACTCGGTGGATATGGAAAATCGCGGGGGATGGTTTGCCGATGAATGTTTTCCCATTCACGACGGCGTACAGAAGGAGGGAATCGGCGGAGAGTGACGACGGCGGCGGTGGTGGGAGTGAAGGGAGAATGAAGGACGGGGAGGAGGGAGGGAGATCGAGGGTTTTATGGGGTCAATTTTTGTTTTGTGGTTTTTTTTTTTGTTGGTGTGGTTGTTGCGTTTTATATATAGGGAGAGCAGGAGAAATAAACTACGAAGTGGAAATGGAAGTGGAAGAGGTAATTTTTATTTTATTTTACTTTTCACACCACTCACCGCCTGCTTTTTAACCAATGGGCCTTTTTTACTCTCTTTTTTTTAAACCTTTTTATCCAAGCTGGTATTTTGGACTGTAGATTATACGTGGAATTTGGAAACCAACATGGAGACGGAACTCCCCCGATTTTGAACAGAATTCTTGGAGAAGGGTGGGTTTGTTGTAACCAGCGATTTTCTACCGTTCTTTTTTTGTATTAATGGTTCAACCGTTCTTTTTAAGATACGTGGTGGGGTTGATTTTGAGGGGGGCAAAAGCAAATCCATGTATTTCCAATGTCGTTTTAACTTGAGTGAGTGTATAATTGTTGTGTAAATCGAGAGCTTGAGAAATTGTTACAGTTTTCATTGGCATTGTTACTACTATATTTTTTTTTTTGTTGAACATTTTAAAATCCAAACAAAAAAGGTGATTTGATATTTAGGTAACATCATTATATACTTCTTAACTTTTGAGAATGAATTGAGTTGTCATAAATCATTTTAGAAGTTTAATTAAGTTTTAGATTTTATGCATATTGTGGTTTCCTTTTCAAACCTATTAATGAACTTTGACATGAATCAGGGGTTAAAGGGGAAGCATTTGGAACATAAATAAATTCATATATATTATTAGACTATGCAAATATAAAATAATCTAGAAGATTTCATCGAAAAGGAAAAAGGTACTTTAACCGGCTGGATAGTTTCGTATTAATGAGTGGGTCTTTTACCTTTGTCGGAATCATGTTCGATACTTTTTTCTTAATACTAAAGTACGCTGAAAAAATCATTTTAGAAGAGAATAAACTAATATAGAAAAATCATTGGTGTTGGTGACGATCCCAATATGATATTGGATTCGTCTACTTGGTTTTACCGTTAATAATATCAACAAATTTAACTTTTGGATTGACTTAAGCAAAAACTTTGGATGTAAAAATATCATTTGTCTATTATTGTCTCTTGATGATAATATAAATCTAAGAAATAGACCTTCTTACAAAAGAATGAATTTTTTTAAGATTAATATTTGACATTTATAATACGTCTTTTCCTCAATAACAATCTTCGAGAAGGATATGTGTAAGAAGACCAAGTCATTGTTGCACTTACTAGAGGACACTACAACAGTTAGATCATGAACTAGTCGATCAAAATTAGCCAAGACATTATCTTGTATGGAAGTACAGATGGATAAGTGGAATTCCTCCCCCTCTCTAGGGTGCAACAAGGTTGGAATAGGGTTTTGGGCATCCAGACTTTAGGGTTTGGTATTAGGATTTTCAAGGTTTAGGATTAGGTTTGCCTACTAATTGTTCTGGCCTTTATTGTTTGAATTGATACATATATTAATGGACATAACAAAGTTATGAGGAGAGGACCTAACAAATACAAAACTGTAACGAACTTGTGCCATACTTAATGACTAAAACTACTATGATTTGAAAATCATCGATGGACTCCTTCTCAACACAATAGTGGGAACATGACATATGGGATGTTGCAAAAAAGCCTATCATCCATAGATGAATAAACAGAAACAACAGTATTTAAGGATTGGACAGAGGTCGCAACCCTCAAAAAATTACCCACCAAGTGTTCATACTTTTTTTGTCCTCATAAGTGATTAGGAACATTATTTTCGTCAATAATCATGGATGGCTTAGTAGTGTTTTCATGTCAATCCTATCGTGATTGACGAAATTCGAATGTGAACTTAATAGAGGACATGTTTGATTACAAAATATAGTAGACGAATGATATGGGTGCTTATAATACACGGGTATAATTTTGGGCGGACTGGATACTGAGGTATAGGCTGAAAGGGAGAGCGATTTGGGAGATACCAGAGTCACAAGTGGGCTTTGGTTATGGAGGAAACTTATTCGACTTAGACCTTGGTTTCAATAAAGGTTGATGGAGGATGGCAACAAGGTTAGATGGGAAGGGAAATTGTTGGAAAATTTTTCTATCAGAACGATATGGCTAGGGGTGGCTATACGGTCCGGTCCGGTTAAATTGGCCCAAATTGATCCGGTTCAGTCCGGTCTTTTTGAAAATATAAGGACCGAAGATTGGATTGGATACAGTCCGGTCTTGATCCGGTCCGGTTTTGATCCGGTCCGGTCCCAATTCGGTCTTGATTTTACATTGAGATTGTGGTATTTGAGTGGCCTAAGGCCTTAAAGGGTGAGGAGTTGGTTAAGTTTTGTACTAAGTGCAAAGGTTTGTGACCGTTTATGCAAATTACCCTTAAGTTTTGGGTGTTGAGCTCTCTTATCCGGTCTTTATCCGGTTTTTTACCTCAAATCTAAGCCCAAAGATTGGATTGGATTGTTTACTATCCGGTCCCGGTCCGGTCTCGTTCCGGGTTATACGGTCCAGTTTTCGGTTGTTAATCCGGTCCCGGTCCAAATAGCCACCCCTAGATATGGCAATCCAATTGTCATAGGAGTTAGTAAAGTTGAAGGTGCATTATAGGGGAAATTTAACAACATTAAAACTCGAGTGCAATTAAAGAAGTTGGGTCTTATAGAGTCAGATATATGCTTGTCGAAGGGTGTGCTGCTTGAGGATTATGCCCTGCAACATCTCACAGAAGAAGAGCGAGGCTCTTTTGTGGCGGATTGGACCAATGACGAGGGTGAGTGGGATTGGAACAGAATCAAGCCACTTCTCCCTGATGAAATTCTTCTTCATATTGCAGGAAAGGATCCACCGCGCCCTGAGCTGGGAGAAGACACAACTCTGTGGGGAGGGGAGAAGGACGGACGCTTCAGCCTCAAGTCAGCCTACAACCTGGTGACGAACATGGCTGAGGAGGAACTAATGAAGATGTGGAAAGAGCTCTGGCATTGGAAAGGACCAAGCCGGGTGAAGCATTTCCTCTGGCTCGCAAATCAGGACAGACTTCTCACCAACAAGCAGAGGGAGAAGAGGAAGCTGACAACCTGCAGCGACTGCAAAGCCTGTCCAGGAATTGAAGAGACAACAGAGCACATTTTAAGGGATTGCAAGAGAACATAAGGCATTTGGAGGCACTTTGACAACCTTCTCAAGAGCATATCACCCACAACTGGCTTCCAGACCTGGCTATGTGAGAACCTTAAAGCTGATGATACGGGCACTGACTTCGGCCTTGTTTGCTGGATTATCTGGAAGCAAAGAAACAAAGAGGCAATTGAAGGGAAGACCTCTACTGATGAAAGGACAATTCACAGAGCCCTTGCCTGGTTACAAATCAACAAAAAGGCAAGTGAGAATGTGCAAAGAAGCATCCTCCCGTTGAGAAGAAATCAGGAATCAAGAGCTCTAGCATGGCGACCTCCACCTAAAAGCTGGATTCAGCTGCAAACAGATGACTCGGTTCTGGGAGCTTCTGGCAAGCAGCAGCAGGAGGGCTTATGAGAGATCATCTTGGTAGATGTTTGGATGCGTTCATATGTAACTTAGGTATATGCTCAATCACAAGAGCAGAGATCAAAGGAGCCGCTGAAGGACTTGTGCGTGCGTGGAAGAAGGGGTTCAGTGGAGTTAAACCTTGATTCCTCCACTGCACTTGCACTCATTCGGAAGAGAAACGACACCAACCACTGTCACGGGCCACTTGTGGATCACCTGTAAAGGATTCTGGATCGAGATTGGGAAGTTAAGATTTCCCATGTTTTTAGGGAATGTAATTTTGCAGCTGATTTTTTGGCTGGAAAGGGCCACCTTTCTCCTTTTGGCACACATTCATTCGATGTGTGCGACCCTAATTTGGGTCATTGGCTTCTTTATGATTCTGTAGGCATTGCCACAAACCGTTTGATTTCAATATGATCTAGACGCCTATTGGTGTCTGTCTTCTTACCAAAAAAAGAAGAAGATATATGCTTGTCATGTCAGGATGCACGAGAAAGCAAAGATCACCTTTTTTTGTAGCTGTTCTTATGCATGTACATTACTGAATGCTCTATTCCCAGATGTGTTGTGGCCTGTGAACTAGTAGGAGATGGTGGAAGAACTATATATGTAGATTGGTTAGTCGAGGAAATACACTAGTGGAAGTTTTATGGTGTTGGTATGTGGCAATGTAAAGGTGGCAATTCTCAATCCAATCCAATCCACCAACCCATTAAAAATATCCATCTAATCCATTCCATTTAAATCTAAATCCAATTGGAATCCAAATGGAAAATTACGATTTGGTACCTATACTTTTTATATTCTACATTTTGGTACCCATAATTTAATTTTTTATACGGAAAATATCATTGGGAAATTACGTTTTGGTACATAAAATTTTCATTATGACATTTTAGTACCTAAACTTTTCACATTTTACATATTGGTCCTTGGTTGAAGATGTCATTTGGATTCATGGATAATCCACCAATCCACTTGATCCAATCCATGAATCCACCAATCCATTTGATCCATAGATCCACCAATCCATAGATCAATCCATTTGCCACCTCTAGGCACCGTTATGGAAAGAAAGATGCAGCAGAGTATTTGCATCGTCCAGAAGGAGTAGTGAGGAAGTGCTTACACAACTTAAGCAAGCAGTGGCGGATCTAGGGGGTGGCCACCCCAGGCCACGACCCAGCCCTCCCATGGATCCGGAGTTAGTATACCCCTTATGAATTTTTTTATGTTAGACATTCGATCTAGTGTTATTTTATAATAAGATTGTGTATAATTAGAAAAATGATTCAGATGAACATAATCAAATAATTATTCTAAATTTAGCCTAAAACTTCTAGCCCCAAATATTTTTCGTATAAGAAGAAACAATGAAACCTAAAATTCTAAAAGTCTAAAGCGTAAAGGACTAAAAGAAATATGAAGTTTGTTCTCTTGAAAATTACTAACGTAGCTGGTTGATATAGTGATGTACACACAATGCAAATTGATTAGTCGATTGATTTGTCTAGTGTTGACGTTGACCGTTTCAATGGCTACAACGAAGAGAACCTTTTCAACAATGAAAATGTGAAAGTTGATTTGCGCAACAAAATGAGCGATGAATTTCTCGTCGATTGCTTAACTATTTTATTTGAAATAAAGTATGTTACCTGGGCTGGTATGGATGTAGACTCTATTGTTGATGCATATGCTATATTAAATGACTATTTGTACAATTAACATTGTAAAAAAACTATGAATATTATTTTTTGTACGATATCTAATTTTCTAATGAAATGCTGCTCAGTGCTCTTCTATGTTGTGGATCTGTCGCCGTAAGTATGCCACTATTGCCGGTGCAATCCTGAGTGCGCTCAAATGTTAGCAAGTTCGTTTATATATTCTCAAAGCTTGAATATGTGTTAGGTGTTACCTGTAAATTTTGCGGGAAGTAAGCAGCATAGTTGTAGAATTAATATTGTAGTATTGTACTACTCCTGGAAGTATGGTTGCATTGAAATTTTTTCCGAAAAGCCTCAAATTTTAACGAGTTAATAAAAATCGACAACAATTACCGGAAAAAATATAGTAGAATGGCATTTACATTTTTTTATTTTTGTAAAATGCAATAATTCATCATATTAATCCAATTTTTTTTATTATCTATTCGTGGAAATACTGCTCTCTCCGTTGGTCGGTCACCAGCCAAACAACACCGTCCGGTTTGTCCGAGAGCAGAGCCCCCGTCAAGAGATCAGCGACCTAATCCTCTCAATTGCGAATAGTGGCCCCTGTCACCGTCAGTGTTCCCGAGAGCAACCGAGGACGCCAAAGTCGCATCCTTTTCTCATATTCACCATCCGCTTTCTTCGTCCTTCAGCCGGCGTTCCCACAATTCCACCATATGCAGAGTCATGGAGGGCTTTCCTTCGGTTTCGTACCCAAAGCGACGTGTACACCTCCGTTCAGGTAATTTTCCGTATGCTTCCTCTCCAGCAATCCCCGAGGGAGTCACCAGTATTTTGGGTAGAATAAAGTTCGCGACTTGAATCGTTTAGTCTGTTGATATCTTTGTTTCTAGTAACTACAACAATGGATACTTTTTCAGCAAAGATTATCTTGAATCCTTAAAGTTGTTCGAGCTAATCAAAAGTTTCATACAGTAGCATCTCCTCTTTGCTTCGAGCCTGAAATTTGGGCATTTCTTGCTGGAATTTCTATGTGCTGGATGTTGAACAATGCTTGCAATTGGGTTGTGGCAATGTTATTAGTTGACTATTTTTCTTGTGGGATTTTTTTTTATATAAGATGAGTTTGATGATTTGTTCATCTTTTCCCAGAGCATGTATGGGTGTTCCAGTTTCAAATGCTTCCAGAATCTCGTCACATTTCCATGGTAAAGGAGGGATACTGTCTGGAATTCATGAGAAGCAGTACAAGATCAGAAGCCAAAGTTTTTCTCAACAAGCTTTAAATAAGAGCACATCAGGCGAAATTGTTAATGGGAAAGACGACAATGATGTGTCTAGAGGAGCATTGATATGGAGGGCAATCAAATTACCCATTTATTCTGTTGCTTTAGTTCCTCTCACAGTGAGTTCTTCGCCTTGTCATTAGTGCAGTGTGAATTTGCATGTAAGCCTTACAGTTTCAATCTCTAGATGGATAGATAAAACTCATCTTGTTTCACTTAAAGCATTTATGTTCTGGACTCAGGTTGGTGGTGGTGCGGCTTATTTGCAGACGGGCGTGTTTTCTGCAGAACGCTTTTTCACTCTCTTGATTTCTTCAGTCCTCATCATAACGTGGCTCAATTTAAGGTTGGTTCTGCAATTTAAGATTCTGGAGCTGTCTGGTTGCATTACCTTATATACTGTTAGACTGAAGATTCTTGCTGGCTGGCTCTGGCATGTAAATATCCATTGTGACTTTGTGAAACACAACTGTTATTCTTTCAAAATTCTTCCATAGCTGCTGAAAGAGTTCCAGTCTTAGTTAGTGATAATAATTACTTTGAATGTGGATGACATGTGTTCATGAATCACAGTTTGTCATGTGCAGTAGCCAATACAGATGACTGTGAATAACGAGAATGGTAGCATACAGTAGTGTTCTCAACTCTGATTAGACTCAAGGGCAGGGCTTTGTCCATATTTTTTCTCATATTCTGTGGTCTTACTCTTACCAAAGCACTGAAAAGCTGGCCTCCATAGTCCATCTGACTTCTTAAAATTCCTGATATCTGGTTGATGGCCAGCAACGATGTATATGATTTTGATACAGGAGCAGACAAGAACAAGAAAGAATCAGTTGTTAACTTGCTTGGAAGGTGAGTTTGTCTTCAGTTTCTTTGAGGATGATTAGCAGGCAAATAGAAACAATACTGCTGATTTACTTCTGATGCACCTAGAAAAGCCGTTCAGGAGCCTTCACTGCATCTTACACTTGCCTCATTGTCGGTTTCGTGGGAATTACGTGGATATCTGTGAGCTCAGGAAGCATACGTGCAAACTTGTTATTGACTTGGGCGATTATCTGTGGCTACATATATCAGGTACATCGCTTTAACAGGTCTGGTATGGGATCCTGGAATTATGCTTGAAAAACGTTTATGCTGCTGGAATGTCTAGTTTGTGTGGTTTGAGTTGATTCATGTTTAAAGAGGTCAAACTTGTGTTTCATCTGTTGACCATGTATTATATACCCTGCAGTGCCCTCCTTTCCGGTTAAGTTACCAAGGACTTGGTGAGCCCTTGTGCTTTGCAGCATTTGGCCCATTTGCCAGCACTGCATTTTATTTATTGCTGCGAATCACAAGGTCAGTTCACTTTTCCATATTGAAGTTTTTCTTTGATTTTTATCTTGCTTCGTCCATTGTTAACTTTAGTTTTAGTTTTCGATTGCTTTGACAGTGGGCCACACAATTTTCAGTTAACTTCAACAGTTCTCTCAGCATCGCTTCTCGTTGGATTCACGACAACCTTAATCCTTTTCTGTAGTCACTTCCACCAGGTTTTGTCTCCATTTTTTACTGCTTCTCTTTTGCTGCTAATCATGGATAATCTTTTTGACATGGAAGTTTCCCCAATCCAGGTCGAAGAAGATAAATCTGTTGGCAAACTATCACCCTTGGTATGTACAAGTTGCCTAGCTCTTTCTGTAATCTTTTCGATTTACTTACCGTGTACTGTTTTGATGGTTTTATCGTTTTTCCCCAAATTTCACATTGAACATGCAGGTTAGACTTGGCACCAAAAGAGGCGCAATACTAGTTAAAGGAGCCATTGTGGCTCTGTACTCTCTCTTGGTTGCTTTTGGCATTAGTGGAGCTCTTCCTTTGACTTGCATTGTAAGTTCTGCATAAAATTTCTAACTCTTAAAGAGGATACTCTATAAAGGCAGTCTTCCACTCCAGTCCAGTTCCTGAATCGACATTCGACATGCCATCGTTAACTGCCTAAATGTGTCGTCTTTTTCCAGCTACTCTCTGCCCTGACCTTACCAATGGGGATTAAAGTAGTCAGATTCGTTGAAGAAAACCACAATGTGAGAGCTCTCAACTTTTTGATATCCATGCTCTTAACCTGCAGCTGCTGCATCTGTTGCTGTTTTTTTTATCGGATGTCCCCCAAGGGACGCTGCATCTGTTGCTGTTATTATCACTTGATGCACTCATCTTGAAATGTAATCTCTTACAGGACAAGGGGAGAATTTTTATGGCAAAATATTACTGTGTGAGACTCCATGCCTTGCTCGGGGCGGCTTTGACAGCAGGCCTAGTGCTGGCTAGGACGATCACAAAGGGATATGTGCCAAAGCCGATATTCTCTTGAATTTCACTCCAAGCAACGATTTTCCCTTAGTTCGCAATACGAACCAGGGGTTGGGTTCTGCTGGTAAATAGTGGGCGAATTCCCCACATTCTTGCAAAGAACAGAAATCCCCTTTGCTGCAAAGTGCCGTTATTGTTTGTGCAGCTTCGATTCCTTTGTTGCATCCACAACTGATCAGCGCGAAGAAAGCATAGACTCCTCCTCCGCACTAGATCGCGTAATGGGCACTGGTTGGAAAAAGGCAGCAGCATCAACGTGTGGGGATGAAATTATGATTCTGCACCAGATCCAGTAACACACATCAGCCTCAAAGCCAGTACATCAGAAAGTCGTTTTTGGGAGCTAGTGGTTTGTGGGGAAACCCAATGTTACATAGTTGGAGTATCGTGCAATTTCAGGGCCATATCTTGTTAATGAAATTGTGCCCAATATGGCAAGTTAATAAGGCGAGTTTGTTACGATGCAATAACTAGCATGTGGCTCTGTCATCTTTTTTTCCTTCCCGGTTAAGCTCGAAAGAACAATGGCGTGGTGGCGGTGTAACACCTAAGAAAAGCGAATTCCAATGGTTTAACTTGATTTGATCAAGAAGAGGAGATGGAATCCTGCTACGGTAACAGACAGGTAAAATTCTGGTGGCCGGAGAACTTGGAACACACCCAAAGAAAACCCACGTACGTAACACCAGCCGAAAAAAGAGAGAGATGGGAAAAGGGTGCGGGCAAACCCAACAAAAAAACAAAAAAAACCTCTGACGATCGACATGTGTATGTTTTTTTGCCGAGCTTGAGACGGTGAGACCACAGTTCTCCTTAAAGTCGAATGTTTTCTTTACCCCAAATATCATCTAAACACACATACTTTCTTTTGCTTTTCCGGCTCGAAACTTCTAATCTATTACCACCCTCAACGCTCTGCATAAATTCTCTCCCTCTCGACGCTCGTCTCCGGCCTCTTTCATTTCTGATTCTTAATTAATTTCCCCCGCATGCAAAAATTCTCTTGATCAAAGTACGTACGATGACGATTACAGTAGGGAGTGTGAACGCAGCGCGGGGAAGCCAGCGTTGGGTGTCGTGCCAAGTGATCGGAGGCATGTTGTTGGTGCAGACGATCGCGTCGGGGATGCTGCTGCTGTCCAAGGTGATCCTCAACGGCGGCACTTTCGTCTTTGCACTCCTAACGTACCGCCACGTGGTCGCTGCTCTCTGTGTGGCCCCGTTCGCCTTCTTCCTGGAAAGGTAATAAATTCTTATGATGTTGATAATCCGCCGTCTCTTTATAAGTACGTCGCCGCCGGTTGTTACTTCAAATAATAATGGAATGTGTGTGCGTGTGTTTGGCATGTTTAGGTCGCCGGAAATCAAGAGCAAGTTACGGTGCTGGCCGGTCTGGTTCTGGCTATTCATCAACGCCATCACCGGGTACGTACGTTAACGTACGTTCTCTTTTTGTGATCAACGCTTTGGTGGAGTTTGATCGTCCCTAGATTTTAGACGTCTAATTACTAATTAGCTACCCACAAAATCAGCGTAAAAGACGATCAAGTATGTTTCTAGTCAATTTTCCTTCTTTAATTTTATGGCCGATGGTGCATGTGTAAATTTCAATACTGAAACAATACCCATGTGCGACTTATTCCCAAGCTAGCTACATTTATTCTTCTGTTAAGTACGTAACTCACAGAGAGACGATGAACATACACTTAGGTGTTGTTTGGTGCGTAGATTTCTAGTTGGGCATATCTTGTCTCCTGCTTTTGGGAGAAGATTGATAGAAAACTGCATGCCACAAACAGTTACTTATAGGACATAAAAAAAACAGACAAGACCAACGAACAGTAATAGGGATCGGAATACAACTGTGGATAAGTTTTGTTGGTGAACTATTCCCATCCTAGCTAGCTTGCTGTTGGAATTTGAGAGCTGTGGTGATCGATCTCGAAGAGATCGTTTGTTAGTGCGGTACTTTGGAGTTTGTTACGCATCCAATCCATAGCCCCTCACCGGACTTTTCGCATGTGTAAGTTACCTAAAATATACATATAGTTCCACCTCCTACCTACCTTTATTTGAACCCTAGTCAATTCGGGTCTCGGTCCGAAACGATGTTTACACGTTTTCACTTGTTCGATTGTGAAACAAATTGGTGTATGTGTGTACATGCGTCATAACTATTTGTTTTTCTTCTCGTATCTCTTGCATGACATCATCTGATATTCTTCAATGCATATAAGGATAAGCACGGGTTCATATACTAATTTAGAAGGGTATGTACGTAGTCAAATCTTTGATTGGATGCGAGTTTATACTTGTTGCCCTACATGAATGAGCTTGTTTTTTTTTACTCGCATAATTCACTATTTTTAGTCGTTAGATCAATGTGAAATATGATTTCGTATCAAAATGATGTTCTGTGTAAGCAACGGGCTTATATGTGCACACAACACACCCCTATAAGCAACTTAATTATTCTCTTATTTGGCAGATTAACGTTGGCTTTGAGCTTGTACTATTACGGCCTGCGGGACACCACGGCCACTTACGCCGTCAACTTCCTCAACTTGATTCCGATCGTCACCTTCGCCCTCTCCATTATCCTTCGGTCAGTATATATATTCATATGCGTTAATTAACCTCAATAACTACGTCTCTCTTTCCCATTAGTTAACTTTGCCAAATGATTAACGTCAACTCAGAATCGAAACCCTGGGGCTAAACACAGCAGCCGGCAAGATCAAGACCATCGGCGCCATCCTATGCGTCGCCGGCGCCCTCACCGCCTGCCTATACAAGGGCAAAACGTTCCACCTCTTCCCCCACAACCACCGCCTTTCAGATGCAATTAGCTCCGCTAATCACGCGGGTTACAACAACGAATACGTCGCTAATGATCCTCACAAGCCCGGAAGCAGCGGCAGCTGGGTGGGTGGGACCCTCATGCTGACGGGGAGCTGCGTGTCGTACGCCACGTGGTACATCGTCCAGGTCAAGGTGCGGGAGCTGTTTCCGTACAAGTGCTGGGCCACCATGCTGACGTGTTTCCTCTCGGCGGTGCAGTCCCTGGCCGTGGGCGCGTGCATGGACCGGAGCCCCGGCGCGTGGGAGCTGGGTTGGAACCTCCAGCTCGTGACGATCCTCTACTCCGGCGCGATGGCCTCCGCGGCGACGTTCTGGCTCATCTCGTGGGCCGTGGCGAAGCGCGGGCCCACCTTCCCGCCCATGTTCAACCCGCTGACCTTGGTCTTCGTGCCTATCTTGAGCGCGTTGCTGCTCGGCGAGCAGCTCAGCGTCGGAGCGTGAGTTGCTGATTATTATAAACGTTAATTAAAGTGCATTCGGATTTATTTGTTTTATATTAATTACGAATTCATTTGGTATTTTTGGGTTTGGAACGACGCCGTTTCAGGTTGCTGGGGATGGTGATAATACTGGTGGGGCTTTACTCGTTTTTGTTGGGGAAGGCGAAGGAGATGAAGCTGAAACGGCAATTGGAAGGGAGTGACGATGAGCGGCCGAATTCCGCCGGAGGTGATCCGGAAGCCGGATTGGGAGGAGCGGTTGCCATGACTAGCCGGCCGGGAAACTGCTAGTATATTAGTCCAGCAAATGTGATTCACAGGGAAATAATTAACCTTGGACTCCTATTAGATTTTTTTTTGGGTATAATTGTGTTGAATTAATTTCTAACCATGAGTCTCGATATATATGCACATTTGTAAATCTCGATGTAATTTGTCCAGGGCCGGCCTATGATATTTGGAGGCCCTGTTCGAAAAATTTTAATGTGGTCTTAAAATTTTTCTCGCAAATTTTTTTAAAACTTACAAAATAATAATAAAAATAACATAATATTTATAGCTATCACACCCGTACAAATAGAATAGAAAAGAAACACAACCCATTAAAAAGTGGAATTCATCGAGAGTGTTGCAAAGCTTACCTTGATAAGAGTTTTTTTTATGAATATTGATAAGAGTTTTCTCTACATTGTTATAAGAAAATACATTCTAACATTAGGAATGAAACTTTGATAAAATTTAGAAATGCAATTAATAATTTACCATATTATTTCAAAATTTCTCTTTAACTGTTTCGTTATATATTTTGTGCGTTGCTTTATTTAGCATGCAAATGATACATGAACTAAAAAGTTAAATTGAAAGAACTATAAATTATCCATTATTAAAAACAAAGAACTACAAATTAAAGAAAAAAGTGAACATCTCTAGCAAATTGTGGGAGTTCGAGAGAGAAATGGAGAAGTTTAATTTTTTGGTTGAATTGGAGAAGTTTAGTCGACAGTCCCTTTTTCTAGAGATAAGAGAGAAACATAAATGTTGACGTGGATGGGCTAATTGATGAGGGAGGCTAATGTGGCATGGGCCAAAATTTAAAGGCCATTAATATTTTTTAAGATAAGATTAGAATCAATGGGTCAGGCTTCTGTTAAAGGGCTCGTTAAAGAATAAGACACAAATTGATCATCCAATTTTGGCCCATGAGACTTGCTAAATTATGAAGCCCCCAAATAGTTGAGGCCCTGTGCTGTGGGTCAGACCAGCACAGGGTCTGGGCCGGGCCTGAATTTGTCTCAATTGTATGCGATTGAAATTGCACGTATTATCAGTGGAGTTAGGTTGAAACTTGGAAGTAGGAGGGATTGTAGTCGGTGAGTTCATAAACCTTCTTTCCCCAATTATCACGGTTCAGATCAGCCCTCTCATTTAAATTTACGACTCCGACACTACATATTATGTAGGATGTAGCTGCAAAAAGATACGAATTAGTTTGTAAAACATTGTTTTAGAAATGCAGGGTTATCAAATAATTTTCACCTCCGTATAATTGAGTTTGCATCATTTCGACACGTTGAGATTTCTTCGCATGTTTAGAGAGAAAAAGACGTCGCTTTATAGTTGCACACAATTGCAAATTTCATCCGGAAGAATTCAATGAAAGAACTTCTTAAAATTAGTGTTACAAACTTATTTTCCTCCTGATATGATTCGTTAAGAGCATCTAGATGATTTGTCCATGAAATAAAAATACTATGATCTCCTAATTAACGCTATGGTGACAATGACTCAATGAGGTCCTTTTTTTTAAAGCAACGAGGTCCATGGCGCATTTTTCTACAATTTCCCCCCGTTGCTCGTATAATGTGAATGACGCATTTCTAGATTTTCCAACGTTGGTTTTATTTCAATACTCAAAGTCTTAATTGCTTTTTTATTACGGTAACCCTAGCTAACTTCTTGTCAATAATAGAGACCCTATATTTTATAATATAAAAATGACAATAGAGATTATGTAGTTCAAAGGCTTAAACGATTGTTAGCTAATAACTATAAATTAAGAAGGAAAAAGTCGTCGGTAGCCCTAGTTAAAATGAAGCGTTAGGGTTTGTCTTTGTCAATAAGAGGCCAGGATGTTAATTTCTGAAATCACGGACCAAAATTAATTATGTGGTCATAGTTTAGGCCAAAATAAGGTATTAACCCAAAAGATTATAACCAAAGGGAAGGCCGGTGGAGTTGCTTTAACTCACGCAAAAGATATTATTAAATTCAATTTAATACATACGGTACTCCTTGGTTTGGAAAAGATTAGAAGTTTGAGGTTTGAAGTGTCATTAAGAAATATACATAAACAAATAAATGGACCTCATAATGAAAAAAAATAATTAGCTTCTAGAAACAATTAACATCGGCCTATATAAACAGAAGTCCACGGATGTGATTAATTTTTTTTATTTGTTCATAATTTTTAAGCGGTTTGTATTTTTATTATTTTAATCTAGATTTCAAAAAATGTGTAGAGACCGAACGCGTTTATTGTGATCCACAAAATTATGAATATTTTCAATACATTTCGAGACAAAAATTTCGTACAGCCCATTATCACAAATTACCGCTTTGGTACAACTCTGTACAACATTTGTTTTTTTAACTCAAAATTTTTAAAAGCTTACATATAGGAAACGAATTCATTGTACCATCTTATAATTGATGGTAGACGTTGATTAAAGATGAGAAATGGTGATTAGTATATTCCTACTATCACGTATACAACCATTCTACACTTTGATACATCATACCACCATGGTATAGTGTTATGTACTAACAAGCATTATTATCATGGTATATACCAGTAATATACATGCCAATTTTTTTTTAAAAAAATATATCAAAGCGAATGTCATTAACAAAGTTAATTTAATTTTTTTATTTAAGACGTTTGAATTGCGATTTAAAATAAGACAAATATAAGCCGTTCGAATTAATTGAAAAAGTATAAAATTTTCAAGAACGATTGATTGGATTATTAAGATGGGTGAGGACTGACGACTTTTACTCCACCAGCTAATTCTGCCGTCTCCACCACCCATCGGCCATCACTACTGTTCTTGTCTTCTTGATACGATTGTGTTAAGGCTTAGGACACCCTTCATCCATAGAAATGAAATCACTATCGAGATATAGAGCTACCTCCATCCACACATTAATGGCTCCACCTCAAATTATTAGATAGAAGAACTGATGATATGCTTGGCGTCTACCATGAGTTTATATCATGGACGACCTTCAAGATAAGGATAGTTTAGATTGTAGAAGGACTGAAATGTAATGTTGATTTAAGTTTATGTAGTAAGGAAGCAGAGCAATAAAAAATCATGATTTTATGTAGAAACGTTTTGGCGATATAGAAGTGTAAAACCATACGCTTTAAACTTTTGAAGTGTGATTTTGACTACACTTAAAAGTGACAAGCATCATTGTTTACATAAGCATTTTGAACTTTTGATGACTTAAAAAGCATAAAAGCATAAGCTTTTAAATTTTAAAATGCGATTTTGACTACATTGGTAAGGAGATCTTATGTTCTTGAATATGAGGGTGGATCACATCACACCATCTCAGAAATGCACTTCTCGCCGGTAATGATCGTGATTTGTTGAGTGGCTGGAGCATCATTCCGCGAGGGTTCCTAGCCGCTAGGCTAGAGTTAGAGACGGCTATCTTTAGAGTAGCTTCTTCTTAATTCTTTTTTTAACGTTTCTTCTCTCTCAATTTGCTTCTTTGTTTTCCGGCTTCTTCTCCATTTTTCACTTCTCCATGTTATGTTTTATACTTTTACATGTGTTGTTGCCGAGGGTCTAGAAATGAGCGGGAACCACGATGATATTAGTTTATAAACTTGTAATTCAAGTTAAGTATGAGATATTTTGATATGTTTACATCCAACACTTAGACACGTCTAGACAAGCTAAGTACAAGACAGAACCTCAACACTCACCTTACATCTAGCTCTTTCTTTTAACTTTGATTTTTAATTTATACATCGTTGGCATGATTCGCGCTTGTTTTGCCCTATTATTTTGTTGGATCTCTGGACTTGTTTGTAAGAATCGCTAAGTTTGGGATTTATTTTATGAATGAAGCGAATGGTTATGAGATTTGTGGAGAGATCTGCGGCAGAATGGGACCGGACAAGTGTATGCTCTCAGTTTCTTTGTTGTACTTGGTGTTTCGTTTGTGGCCGGTGATTTTGTTTAGTGTTTACATCACAATCAGATTACTTGGAGCAGCGCAATAACTTTTTTTCGAGATCACTGTTGTCGGACATCTCACCCGACGTGCTCTCTTCCACTTATTTCTGATTATTTTATTAGTTAATTGTGCATCTTAATTTTTAATGATAATAAACGATTCCCTCTTTATTGTCAAGAACCAGTTAGTGGTAGAAGTTCAACTGTAAGTTTGCACAGGTCTAGACATCATGTGGTTAACAGAAACACTCGCTCACAGAAAGGTATGATACCATGTCAAGAACCAGTTAGTCTCAATAACTCGAGTTGTTGGGAGAAAGTTATGTTGGATCTTATACAGCTATCTAACACGCTCCCTCAAACGAAAGCCAACCCATGAAGCTTGTAGTTTGCACAGGCCCACCATACCTTGTGCTTTAACCAACTGTTAATATTTGGGGTCGTGGAGATTCGAACACACGACCATTTGGCCAAACCTGTTCTGATATCATGTTATAAACCAGTTGATCTCAATAACTCTTGAGTTGTTGGGAGGTTTAATTCTGTATCATATACTATTTACTAATAACTCGAGTTATTGGGAGCAATTGGTTCTTGACATGATATCAGAGCCTTCTGTGACTGAAAGGTCTCCTGTTCGAATCCTGGTAACCCCCATCTGTTCTGTTAAGCACATGGTGTCCACTGTCCAGCCCTATGTCTGTCCAAAGTCCAAACTCCAAGCCTATCTTAGTGGCTTGAGTTTGAGGGGGTGTTAGTAAATGATATATGATACAAAATTGAACCTCTCCCAACAACTCGAATTATTGAGACCAATTGGTTCTTTACATTTATGAGTTTGCATTAATTGTGATGAATCTCTTAAAATAATAAAAACAAAGTATACATATTGATTGTAATTAGTTTTAACACTATGCTAAAAATTTGTATATCATCACCTTGACATCTGCCTTTCAACATCTTCATACTTCACAATAGATCAATAGTGAACTCATACTTACGAATATACATCTAAGAGCATCCACATTGGTATTGCATTCTCAATTGCAAAATGACATGACATAGGTGTTTGCAATTGCAAAACCAATTGCATTGATGTGGCTATCAATTGCATATTTGCAAGCTTTCAACAAATGCAATTCTACATGCAAGTCAAAAAAAGCCTTAAAAAATGGGGATTTTTTACTTTATATTATTTTCTTTTCTCTTTTACTTAATTTTATATAATTTAAACATAATATTTAGTTACATTTGCAATTGCATTGATGTAGGTGAATGAAACGAATGTGATGTGGATTGCAAAAAATTTGAGTTGACAATAAAAAAACACAAATGCAATTTTTTTTAATTGCATGGAGATGCTCTAACACGTTAATCACTTGGGCTACAATATTAACATATGATTATTCTATATATATACACACGCGGTAATATTCACAATCAAGTAACAAAATTCAATCTCCTTCAATGGATAATTGGCTCAGTCAGT